CTTTTCTTTCTTTCTTTTTTTTAATATTTTTTAGTTGTCAATGGACCTTTATTTTCTTTATTTATATGTGGTGCTGAAAATCGAATCCAGTGCCTCACACATGCAAGGCAAGCTCTCTACCACTGAGCCATAACCCCAAACCCAGATCTTTTCTTACTTAAAAACCAGTCTCAGGAATGTAGCTCAATGGTAGAACCCTTACCTAGCATGTGCAAGGCCCTGGATTCAGTCCCCAGTACCATAAAAACAAAAAAACAAACCAACAAAATTCTCAGAAAGCACATCTCCCCTTAGAAGAACGCATATTATGTGCATTGGTTTAAAGTGTAGATCTAAATGTTTTTAATATTAAAAAAAAAGACTTCAGCCTTTATTCTAAAGTTTGGTCTAATATAAGTTAGAACTTTGTAAAAGCAGATAAAATCATAATAAGGAAGTTGTTGTAACTGCCACACTGATCAACAAGTAAAAAACAATAGTGAATTAAAATTTTCAAATAGCTGTTCTGTACAGATACAAGTCCAGTGGAGTCTACAGCATAGATTAAATTACAGTCCTCTTGTTCTCTCCCCTCAGTGGTTGGCTGGTACATATTTAAAGGTTGCTTTGAAGAGCTGGTAGACAGTGAAGCAGAGAGCACTGATCACCATTGCAGTAGGTGCCTTTCAATTAAGATTTTGACTTTACAAGCAGACTCAAAAAAGGCTTGGTAATGAATCCCTCTGAATAGCTTAGGGTCAAGTTTTAAATTCCAGAGCCAACCCCAATAACTTCTTTATGCCTTTGGATTTGTGAGGTTGACAAATTTTAAACTTTGTAATAATAGCCTACACTTATGAATACATGTCTTGGTAATTAGAGTGAGTTTTTGAGAAGCAGCGTAGTCCAATAGAAACTATAGCTAGACTGCTCAAGTTAAAATCAAATCTTACCATTTATTAACTGTGTAACCTTGTGTAAGCTATTTAACCAGGATCCTTATCTGTAACATGGTGATGATAATGAGAATTAAGCAAGTTAATAGGTGAAAAAATGTTTAAAAAACCCCCATGTACATAGTAAGCATTGTAGTAGGTGTTTGAACTTAAAGGTGCAGGCAAAAATGCCAACTAAAGAAGCAGCATGAAAAACTTCCTTGTATTTTTCTTGAGCCTGAGACTTTGAAAAGTATAGGTCAATTAAAATAGAGATGGGTTGGCAAAAATTAATAAATACAAAGATCCAACTTGTACTCTGAACAAAGCCAGAGTTTTTCATCAAGTAGAACTGAGGGCTATTTTTCAAAAATTGTATACATTAACTTTAGTAGAAATAAGTCTGATCATTTGCTAATGTTTTAAATGCTTATGGTTTATCTTCAGTTATTTTTTGTATGGGAAATGGGGTATTGATTCCCCCCGGGTATTTAACCACTAAGCTACATCCCCTGATAGAGATAGATAGATAGATAGATAGATAGATAGATAGATAGATAATATACATGTCTTTTTTTTTTTTTTTTTTTTTTTTTACAGAGTCTTACTAAGTTACTTAAGGTCTGCCTTGCTAAATTGCTGAGGCTGGCTTTGAATTTGCTATCCTCTTGCCTCAGCCTCCTCAGTTGCTGGGATTACAGGCATGTGCTACTATGCATATTAAGCAAAAATACTACCACTGGGCTTAACTTCAGTTCTTAAAGTTACTTATCTTTATAATCAGGAATGCTTAAAGGGTTTGGGGATGCAATTAGTAATAGTAGTATAAATAGATGACTTAATGCCTGCAGTTATTTTTTGCAGTAATCTCAAGTAATAGGCATTCTTTTTAAAACAATTGTTTATTCACAAACTTTACATACAAGCTTAATAAAATGGGCTTAAAATGATTTTTCTAAATATATTTTCTATACAAAATTTCAAGGCATAATTATTGATATGTACAATACTTTTTAACTTTTATTTTATTTTTTGTGGTACTAGGGATTGAGTCCAGGGACTTATGCATACTAAGCAAGAATACTACCACTGGGCTACATCCCCACCCCTTGACCATACTCTTAACAGACAAATCAGTAATGGACCTTGATCTGTACTTCAAAACAACATAGATGTAATTGATAATTCATTTGCATGCTGAAAATATGCTTAGTTCCTTCTAGTCTACACACCTTTTATTGTGTGATCTAAAGAATCGTCTTTGTGGGACCCAGATCCCTGACAAATAATTCTTGATCAGTGCTGTAATTCTGTGGTATATGACTGATAAAGTAGGCCTTCCTGTGAGTAGACAAGAAATTGGGCAGTTCAGATGCTGAAACTCCTAAGAACTTTGAAAGCTTTAGCTTAAAAAATAGAGAATTTTTTTTTTTTAAGAGCTCCCACTCACATGGGAAGAACATCATACACATTTCTCCTTTAAACCTTTTACTATAGGGCTGGAGGTGTAGCTTAGTGGTAGAGGGCCGGCATGCTTAGCAAGTGTTTGAGACCTTGGCTGGGTTCAATCCCGAGCACCTGGTTGGAGGTAGGGCTGTGGGGGGTGTCATTTATTAGGTCCCCTGGTTTTGATTGGTGCCTTGTAGAGTTTTTCAGCTCATATCATATTACTTGTTTTCTTGAAACTATTTTCTTCCAAAATTCAGGCTCATGCTCAAAATTTTTTTTCTTACAGTCTACATGTACTAGCTTAAATGTTGTAACCAACAGTATTGTCCTTTAAATGTTTTAACTAACCTCACATTTCTAATGGATTTGCCTTGAAGATTATTGCCATGCTTTATACAAGTATTTCAAAAGGTATGGAGACATATATCACCATTGTTGATACTTTTAAATGCATGTAACATTTATTATAAGGATTTCAATTTTTTACCATGTCTTTCATTTGGGTAGTTATTTGTTAGTGGCTTAGATTAGTTGAGTACTTCAGAAAAAGGAAGCCAGTGAGTTTGATTCAAGTTGTTTGTAAGATTCTGAAACCTGAACCAATTATTGCATTTAATATTCAGTTTTATCCTAAAGTTGATCGATCCTCTTTTTGATGATTTTACTTAAACTGATAGTAATGCTTCCCATAGCTATCACTTTCTCTCACCTACCAATTGAAGAGGGGGAAAATTGTGAAGGAAAAGCATTTGTTTAGTTGGTATGGATCTGACCAAAGAGTTTAGGGGGGAAAAGAAAAAAAAAAAAAAACTATTGTACAATTTATTTTAAAATTTATTTGAAAACATTTAGTCAGTGAGAACAATGAAGCAGTTCTAATGCACCTAGAAAATAACAGTAGCAGGCTGTTGACATTGTTGCATTTTCATGGAGTCTCAGGGTCTAATTTTTATTGTAGAGAACTGAAAAAACCATGCTTCATAAAGATAATTAGTTACAAATGATAGCTTGAACTGAAAATTTTTATCAGTTACTATAATCAATGTTTACATTTTTATTAAATCATAATAGTCACATAAACACAAACTTAAAAACGATAGTATCTATTGTCAAAATAAAACTGTTAGGTATTTTCATGTTGTACAACATAACTGAGAAAACTGCTTGTTACTTGAGAAGTTGTTTTTATGATTGTACCTTTTAGCTTTGAAGATCTTTTAAAGGGAGAGAGACTTGAGGTAGAGACAATTATGTACTTCATTCATAGGTTATGAGGAGGATTAAGTGAAATAAGCCTCTGTTACACTGCTGAATGCTCAGTAAATTTCAAGGGCTGTTTTCAACATTTAGTAAATAATTGACTAACAGGATTGAGTTGAAGGGCAAAGAAGATCAGCTGAGTATTTAAAACAGGCAGCATTTTATATTAAGAGAAAATTGTGGAAGAACAGATTTGCTTTTAAAATACCTGCTTTTAAATTATTTGCTACAGAATTGCTGATTTTAACCTGCAGAATCTGTTTCCTCTTTTGTAAAATACGGATACTATTTAATCTATTAGGCACCGATTACAGGGCAGTGTTTTGTACATAATAGGCTTTAATAACAATAGCCATTAAAGAAGCTGCCAAGAAAAGAACCAGATTTAGACTTAACTTCAACTCCATCAATAAGATGGAGCTTAGTAGTTAAGCAAAGGAAGTCAATTTGTGTGGTCTGACTTTTGAAAATCTGGCTGAATTTATTCTTGGAAGAATTCCCTAAAGATTTATCATTATATTAACACCTTTATTATCTTCACCAACCTGTCCCTTTAAATTTTGGTATTGTGCCACATCTTTATTTCCTCCATCCTCCTGCATTTTTTTGTTTTATTGATTTTATTTTTTTAAATACACGACAGCAGAATGCATTACAATTCTTATTACACATATAGAATACAATTTTTCATATCTTTGTGTATGGAGTATGTTCACACCAAATCATGCTTTTATACATGTACTTTGTTTTCCTGCATTTATTTTGTACCCATTACTCCAGTAATAGATAAAAGGCTGCTAAGGAAGTAGGCAACCTGAAAAAAGTAGCTTATTATAGCTTAATATGAATTTCTATAGCTTACTGTTGGTGTTCCTCATTTGGTAGGTAGGGTAGAAGAGTAGAACAATACTGGGGTCAAAAGAAAGTTATATTAAAAATCGGTGTATCTACTTAACAACTATCTACTTAACAACTCCTGTTCTCAAGTTCTTATGTACAACTTTAGGTTGGTTTCTTTTTGTTTAGACTACATATGAAAGACTATTAAGTACACACTTAGATATGTAGGTCTCTTGAAGTTTTTAGCTAAAATAAAAACGTCTCGAATTTGACATGCTAAAGAGGAAACCCCTGCTTTGGCAAAATTTAAACCTTAATCTTGGTCTTGTGAGAGTTCCTTATGTTTGCAGTGATCCAAAATTGTAGAGTCATCTTGTATAAGAATGCATTAATCTACTAGACAAATCTCTTACGATTTAATTACATGGCATCTTCTAATCCTGTGGTAAGAAAAATGTAAAATTAATTTTATTCAAGGTAAGGCATATTAGCTTATATACATTTTTTTGTCTCTTTTTTGTTGTTTTTGTTGTTAAGTAGGATAAGTTCTGAACGTCGAAAAGAAAAGTCTAGAGATGCAGCCAGATCTCGACGAAGCAAAGAGTCTGAAGTTTTTTATGAACTTGCTCATCAGTTGCCACTTCCCCATAACGTGAGCTCACATCTTGATAAGGCTTCTGTTATGAGGCTTACCATCAGTTATTTGCGTGTGAGGAAACTTCTGGATGCTGGTGAGTTGCTTTAAAAAGGATATATAACAGGCCTGGAAATTAGAAATTAGAAGTAATTAGAAATTATTATTAGCAGGTGGTCACTGATGATTTTCTTTTATGCCCATGGATATAAAATTTATATTTACCTCTGCCTCCCTTTTCTTGTTTACCTACCTTCTAAAATATGGTCTTTCTTTTTGTTTTTTGGTTTGGCTGTATTACTTCAAATAATTATGAAAAGCAGTTTGCAAAATCTTAGTCCTCTCAGCCTTTATTGTTCTGTATTAAAATGAAAGCAGTGGGGAAAAATTTAAATATACAGAAAAAGCAGATACTGTAGATTTTTTTAATGTATTGTTTTATTTCTAGATGGACACAATAACTTCATTCCATTTATTTATGTGGTGCTGAGAATCGAACCCAGTGCCTCACGTGTGCTAAGCAAGTGCTCCACCACTGAGCCCCAGTCCCTGCCTAGATACTGTAGATATTAAGAAAAGTATCTGGGAGAAAACTTTATAATAACATCTAAACATTACATCATTTAAGTCATAACTTTTTAAATTATTTTCCTCCTCTTCACACCTTTTCAGGTGACCTGGATATTGAAGATGAAATGAAGGCACAGATGAACTGCTTTTATTTGAAAGCCCTGGATGGCTTTGTTATGGTGCTCACAGATGATGGCGACATGATTTACATTTCTGATAACGTGAACAAATACATGGGATTAACTCAGGTAAAATGTCCACATATTAAAAGCCCTTTGGATGTTTTTATGATTTTATGATGTAGATCTAATTTTTAAAAATATGTTTACAGTTTGAACTAACTGGACACAGTGTGTTTGATTTTACTCATCCGTGTGACCATGAGGAAATGAGAGAAATGCTTACACACAGAAATGGTAAGAAAAGTCTATTGTTTGATTTAATGTGACAAGAGGTTTTACTTAATCAGATATGTTACTAATTTTTAAATGTCGTTATTGTACTCATCTAAGGCAAAAATGTTCTTTCACATTTAGTAAAATGCTAACACTGTTCTTTGTTAAAACTGTTCTACTTTTTTTAGGAATTTCATAGAAATACTTTTTTTTGTTGGGTGGGGGTACTGGTGATTGAACTCAGGAGCACTTGACCACTGACTCATATCCCCAACCCTATTTTGTATATTATTTAGAGACAGGATCTCACTGAGTTGCTTAGTACCTCTCTTTTGCTGAGGGTTCCTTTGAACTTGGGATCCTACTGCCTCAGCCTCCGGAGCTGCTGGGATCACATGTGTGCCACAGCACCTGACTACAATTTTTTTTAAAACTGACCTAACTTCCTAAATAATTATACAGACACATACACATGAATAGTAAAATGTATAAATTAAAATGAAGACCAAGAAAGTTATAAATTAAAATAAAACAAAACATTATGGCAATAAGAATTGAAAATGACAGATAACAGGATTTTACAGTTATTAAAGCTAAGGTGCCAGTTTAGATCCAGGTTTTTTTGAGACCCAAGAAGAAAAAAGGATAAAGTTGACTTAGAGTTTTAAGAGCACAATAACTACTTTGATTTCTCAGGATTTTTAAAAAATAATTTGAAGTTACAAATTACAAATTTTTGTAATCATGAATGCTCACACATTATAAAAGACATAAAACTTTAACTCTTGTGATTTGTTAACAATAACAAAATATTCCAAGATTTTTGAAAAGTACCTTTTGAATTACAAAAATTTAATAATTAAAGTTTTTTTCACATTTGTGCCTTCCTCAGCCAAGTATACTCATTTAATTCTACTTTTCATGACTGAAAGTTACCACAATGAAAATTTATTATACTTTGCTGCCCTCTGATTTAAATAAGTTTCTCCGCTTCTGTTTTAAACAACTTCAAGTTTGTAGTACTTTCTTGAATAATATTTAAGGTTTCCTTTTTCATCCCATTTATTATAATAATAGCTAACCTCTATTGAGAGAATACTCTGTGGACACTTCAGTGACCAAGACACTGTCATCTTCATTTTATAGCTTGAAGTTCTTTGTTCCTCATAACCCTGTGAAGTTACTGTTGGTTTCCATTTTACCAAGGAAATTGGGGGTACCTAGTTACTGGGTAACTTGTCCAGTATTACTTGGTTAGCAAATTGCAGAGCTTGGGTTGAACTCTGGGAGACTGCTTCAGTCCATGCTTGTTAGCACTTATGAGCTTTTTTAGTATTCTTGAATTCTAACTACAATCTTCTTTTTTTTTTTTTTCATCATTTATAGGTGCCCTGTTTTGCTTTTTAATTTCATTTTATGTTTTTACTATGAAAATGGGAAACAAATGCACAATTTTTAGGTTTCTGTGTAAAGAACAAGTGAACTTAGAATTCTGTGTAAAAAATAAGTAAATATGCTCTAAGCAAGGTCCTAAATGGGTTTTCAATGAGTTAAATAGTTTTTAGGCTTGAGGTTTATATTGACTGCTTGGGGCTTCCTGCCACTAGACCATAAATGGATACTAGGCAGTCTTGTTTTGATTTAGCAATCATGTTAATGTGTTGTTTGACATCAGATTAGTCACTTAAATGTGTTTTGCATCAAATGTACTTTTTTCAGGCACACAAATTTTTTTCAAATCAATCCTAATGTGTTAATAAACAATGCAGATTTTCACTTATTTGAGTGCTCTTGCAAAGCATTATATTTTAATGATACTTAAGAGCCTGTAGTGTGTTTACACAAATAGTCCGATTATTCGTTGAATTCTAAAAAACTTTTAGAATTCATAAAATAAAAAATATGACTTCATTTTTAGAGAGCTGAAAATATAGTTCTTCTTTTTTTGTGGAGGGGTTGGTAACCAGGGATTCAACTCAGGGGTACTCAACCACTGAGCCACATCCTCAGCCCTAGTTTGTATTTTTATTTAGAGACAGGGTCTCACTGAATTGCTTAAAGGGCTTCGCTAAGTTGCTAAGGCTGGCTGTGAACTCTCCATCCTCCTGCCTCACCCTATCAAAGCCCTTAGTTTCCAAAGAGCAGTTTAATTTGAACTTAGATTATGAAGGACTGCAAATACCTCGAGGAGTTTACCCACAAATCTCTACTGCACCTTTCATAACCATCATCACCTGCCTCCATAATACACCTATATCATCATTAAGACCAGTGTGATTTTGTGGCATTATTTTAAAATCAATTCTTAATGCTTCTAGGGAAGGCAAATTCAGTCCTAGAACTCATCTTCCTTAATTAAGGAGTCTAGCATTTCTAGCAAAGCATACCTAAATTTAAACTTACTCTTTTGTTTCTTTTCCAATTGACAATGTTCTTCAATATACTAACCTTAAAATTTCTAGATATTTTTTTTAAAAATTATCTCATCAGTGTTTACAGATTGTACTTCTTCATTTGCCTTTTGCCAACCTTCTTTTTAGTCCTACTACTGCTACTGGCTGAATCCCTCAATACTATCACTCTATCAAATTAATATATTTAAGTTGAACTCCTCATTTGGGTATCAGAGTCCCTCCATAGTAATAACCCTAACCTTTCCTTCTAATTTTGTCTGACTACTCTTCTACATGTACCTTATCCTACAGACACACTGTACTGTGTACTATTTCCTGAACATGTGCTATTTTTCCTTTCTGTGCTTTTCATTCTCCTCCTTCTTCTGTAATACCCTTTTAGCCCATCTCTACTTACTGAAGTTCTAATGTCTCTTTTTCTGAGAAAGCCTTCTTGGTTCTCCCTGATGAGAATTTACTTCTGATCTGTTTCTCTTAAAAGCATTCTTAAAAAGTCTTGAGTACTAATTCTGTATTGTATTGTTGTTGACCTTACAAGAGCTACTGCATGCTTAACTTCTTCAGGAAAAGGAATGTGTCTGATTATTCATCTTTGTATCACCTGCAACATATAGTTCAAGTTCTGAATAATGAGTATTTTTGTATTTGTTTTGAACCAGACTGACCAATGAATGAATATAAGAAATCAAAATATTATTTGCTTAATCACCTGAGTGTAATCTCATTATTTAGTTATGATGTTTGGAACGGGAGTAAATAGACTTGAATTTATTTATTTCTGTAATCCCACCCCACCCCCACCCACCAGTGCTGGGTATAGAACCCAGAGCCTCAGACATAGTAGGCAAGCCTCTACCTCTTAGCTATATTTCAAACCCCTATTTCTGTAACCTAGTTATTCAATCTGGGTTTTTTCCCCAAAGTAACACAGTAGAAATAATTTCTTGCCTGCTTTCCAGGATAATTTAAGAAAAAAATAATATATGTAAAAATGCTTTTTTGCCATTAAAAAACTTGTTGTTTTAAAAGTTCTATAAATACATTGTTACTTATTGAGCTATCGCATTTGGTTATATGAAGAGTTTGCTGAGGTTCTTTGAGCATACTTAGCAGTGATAGCATATATGTTGATAGGGCAAACTTATACCATTTTCCTGTTTCCTTGTAATTTGACCAAATTTACTGGCTTGAATGATTACCTATTATACCAATATGCCATCCTCCTGCCAAGTGAGGGAACCACTTAAGTATTATAAATACTAGTACTGAGCGGAGCCTGTCAGTTCTCTTGTATATGTTAGAGTGGGTAAGGCTATGAATATGTTCATGCTGAGACTCACTTATTGTAACAAATTCATATGTTTAGTTATGTTTTAAAACTTTATTTCATGTTTTCATTAGGCCCTGTGAAAAAGGGTAAAGAACAAAACACACAACGAAGCTTTTTTCTCAGAATGAAGTGTACCCTGACTAGTCGGGGAAGAACTATGAACATAAAGTCTGCAACATGGAAGGTAAATCATTTTTTTTTGACTTACGACCGATTATGTGCTTGATTTATAAATAAATTCATACATCTAGACATTGCTAGAATTAAAACAGCTTCACAATTGTGAGGGAAAATTTATAGTTATTCCTTGGATTTACCATTTGCATTTTCAAATGATGAGTGTATAATTCTCAAAAATCTAAAAAAATGTAATTTTACAACTTGAGGCACAGACTAAATTATGTGTTTTAAGATTTGTGTACCAAGCTAACTGGATCAGTTGGCTTAGTAAACAGTCAGTGTTAGAGTCCTGATAGAGTTTAATTTTCTACTCATTGTATCGCTTCTTTGCTCAGTGTTGAAACACAGTCATCGAGGCAGAAGCAGCCAGCAACCACAATAATCAGATTAAATGAAGAAACAAACACCAGGCTTATACAGGGTATTACTATCATTATTATTAATGTAAGAGTAATGTAGGGTACTTAGGAAATATGTCATGGGGAACATGCTTTATTAATTTTCAAAAAAATACATTTAATCCACTAATGACAGTAAATTTAATTAAAGCTTATTTACCTGTCAGACTCAGCTATTTATCTCTGTGTTTTTATTCTCTCTAGCATTACAACTTAGAAAAAAAAATGTTCCATTTTTCTTCCTACCCAGGTACTTCACTGTACAGGCCATATTCACGTATATGATACCAACAGTAACCAATCTCAGTGTGGATACAAGAAACCACCAATGACATGCCTGGTATTGATTTGTGAACCCATTCCTCATCCATCAAATATTGAAATTCCTTTAGACAGCAAGACTTTTCTCAGTCGACACAGTCTGGATATGAAATTTTCTTATTGTGATGAAAGGTAAATTAGACATAAAATATTACTTGAAATTTTTAACTTGTCTAAGGTTTTTTAAATATTCACTGAAGACTCAATGGCATATTATGTGTTTTCAGTAAGATTAATAGAATGATATATCCTGGAACCTACTGTGTACACGTTACCAGGTGCTATTCAAAAATTATTTGATGATGTCGTTTTCTTTAAGGACTCTTATTATTTAAACAGAGAAAATAAATGTCAAAGTAGCATGTTTTAAGGAAGATAACTTGTGGTTATAGACTAGATAGCAAAAGTTTTTTGGTCGGCCTCATCTTACATCTTTTTCAAGAACCATCAATCCTGCTTGTGCTTTCTATCCCCATTTCCCAAATTTATTTCTGTAACTACTTCTTTGTAATTGCCAACTTGATATTTCTGTCTGGCTAGCAATTTCTCTGTATTGTAAATGTTTTTGTTACTGAACTGTACCACTGTTGTTCTCACACAACATAAAAAAATAAAAATAATTCTTTTCTTCCTATAATGTCCATCATTGTTAACATACCACCCATGGGATGTTTTAATGACTAATGCCTTTGCCTTTTCCCATTCTGCACTAAAAAAAAATTTTTGTACTTTCTAACACATTCTCACTTTCTACATCTTTCCTTCTGCATTTAAGAAGAAACTATACTGTTCTTGTACACAACTGTCATAACATTTATTTTATGGTTTTATTACTTGTCCCATTATTTACTTAAGGTTATATAACACAGTGTTAAAAACTGATTCTGTAGCCAGATTACTAAATTCTCTGGTGCCTATATCAAAAGGATCTTAAACAAACTAATTCTTTTCTTTGAACATTAGTTTCTTAATCTTTAATAACACCTACTTTATGGGATTAACTTGAAGATCTTATGAGAAAACCAACTTTAAGCACTCAATACAAGTAGACAAAAATTGCCCATCCTTTGGACAAAGAAATGATGATAAAGCACTTGCTTTGAAATCACATAATCTTGCATTCAGACCTGGCTTGTAGCTCTGGTACTTAGCTGTTGTAAGACTCAAGATTCCTTATCTATAAAAATAAGGGTCATACCTCAAAAAGCTGCTGTGAGGACTAAAGGAGTTTGTTGAGTGCCAAGTACGAATAGGGAATACCTCACCATAGCTATCCAACTTTAAGAAAATGAAGATACAAAAGCTAAAAAACTATTTCATGGTGTTTATTGGCAGTGTTAATATGAATATATGATGGAATAGTGATGTCCACCCTACTTTAGAGGAATTTTTTTTTTTAACTTGAAGTATAGGGATAGCTGAGGAGAAGGGAAAGAAATGGAGTAAAAATGAGAAAGGAATGACATTTATCTCTGGGTCTTTCAGAAAATTAGCATGATGATTATGACAGAGAAATTAAGACCAAAAGCATCTAGCCTAAAGATCTAAGAGAGGGAAATGATTGTTTTCTGGTCAAAGCTCTTTCCAGCAACTGTAACCCTTGAGCCAAGACATGGAAAAATATTTGTCCAATTTTAAGAAAATCTAACACATTAAAGTAATCCACTTGTAATTATTCAGTACATTTATTTGAACATCTACTATGTTCATGCCACAAAATAGAAATATATATGAACAAATCCTAGAGTGAATTTGTAGAGCAACTGCTTTAGTTCACAGGTTTCCCCTATCCATTAAAAATACTTTTTGATCAAACTTTCTAGATCTTTCCTCCCCTATAAAATTAAATTTATCTTGTTTCTTCCTATATGAATAAAGTTGACCTTCAAGGAAAACTATCAACTGTTTATATTTTGACTTCTTGACATCCTTTAGTAGTAAACATACCTCAGATTGAGAAGTACTAACATCTGATTAAATAAAAACTTCCTTTAAATAATATACATGACTCTCATCAAAGTGATCCTCTTGTCGCCTTCTCCAGCATCATCTCTTTCCACTTGCCCCCACTAACCAACCACACCTACATGTACACCATGTTAAGCATTTTCTCTTTGTACTGTACCTTCTTCCTAAAGTGGCTTTGCCTTCTCTTTGACTCTCTTTTATACAAAACTCTCTCACAAGAAGCTGTCCCTCACCCTGACCATTTCTCCTCATGATAGAAGTAGTTCCTCTGATTCCTAGAACAGATACACATCATTGCATTTAATACCTTGTTTCACAAGTTGTATGATAAGTGCACCAGAAGATAAGTCATACTTAGAACAATGCCAGGAGCAAAGGTTATATAGATTTGCATAGTGAAAAAGTATTTAAATTCCATGAGAATTTTATTTAAATGCGTAATATACATAAGAGCAATTAAAACTGTTTTTAGGTTTGGGGTTATAGCTCAGTGGTAGAACACTGGTTAGTATATCAAAGGTCCTGGATATGATCCACAAATAAATAGTTTAAGGACAGTATTTGTTTTTGTAATGCTGCCACCTAGTGTTGATGTGTTTGGGAATATCTTTGTGAAGAATTAAGGTTTTTCTTTTGCTTTTTTTTTTTTTTAATGTAAAAGTAATGATGTAATGACTATAAGCAAGACAAAGCAATAGAATTGTGCTTCTTTTGCAGACTAGGGACAATGAAATGTTTAGCTACAATTTTCCATACAAACATGAAACAATATTCATATAGAATAAACACCCTCCAAGATAACTGATGGGTGATGAACAAATACACCAAGTTTGACCAAAGCAAAATACAAACTGAAAAGTGTTGGGATTGTTCATGTTTTAAATTTAACATGCTTGTTTTATTTAAAAAATACCTATAGAAACTCATCATAGATTGCTTGTATTTCCAGACATTACAGAGAAGGCATACTCCATTGTTAACTGTTGTTAAAGTAATGTTTAAGTTTGAAATTATTCTTACAACACATATTAAAATAACTTTAGATAAAATGGCTTCTTCCAACAATTAGCTGGTTTATTTAAAAATTTGTTTTGACTTTTCTCCAATAACATGTGTTTGCTTTGGTTTTGATAAATAAGGTTTCTATTTATTTTTGAACAAGCTATTATAGCAGGTCTTGCCTTAGAGCAGTATTAGTTTTATACCTTAATAACAAAGTTGTATTGCCTGTGTCCTTTCTGTAATTAGGTGTTTTTGGTTTTTGGACACAGTGTAATATAGAATTTTTGTTTGCTCCTCAGTAAAAAAGTCCTTTGAAATCAAGGCTGAGAAATCTAAACATGTTTTGGTCCCAGAAAAGCTTTGGAAGAGAATATTTCTGTTTAATATAGTGTTAATAAGAGCACAGCCTTCTCTTTCTCATAACGTGGGTTCTCATGAAGTATTCCAAACTGGATACAGAGAATAAAATCTAGTCTCTATTCTAAAGGAATTTCTAGGAAACCAGATGGAATAACTAGATTAGTTTTCCACCCATTTTCAATTTGATATCATTGTTTCATCTGAAATTATTCCTAAAAGTTCATATAACTAATTTTAGAAACTAAATAATAAAGCATCTTCTAAAGCCTTCTTAATGTCTGTTCCTTCACTTCCCATTTAGTGTAGGTACTCTGTAGATAAATGTCAGTGACTACCTTTACAAATTTTATCATTTAGCAGTACTTCATATCTATATATGTATACTTTGCAATGTGGGTACAATAGAATGTGATGAAAACAGGTAACAAGTTTGGGTGAAGGGAATAACTAATGGTCAAATAGAGGACTTACAGAAATGCATGGTGTTGTACTTAATAACTGTAGGATTTCTTTCTTTTTTATATACTTATTTTTTAGTTGTAGTTGTACACAATACCTTTACTTTATTTATTTTTATGTGGTGCTAAGGATCAAACCCAGCACCTTGCACATGCTAGGCAAGCACTCTACAGCTGAGCCACAACCCCAGCCCAATAATCGTGGGATTTCTAAAGGTGAGATATAAATTTATTTTAAGCAATGGGCAGTCTTTACTATTGAAAACTCACTTGTCCATAAGGCTAATGAACATCAGTTACTTTGGAGAAGCAAAAAATAATTTTTAATTAGTCCTTGTTCTTTTTTGTTGTTGTTAACTTACATTTTTTACTAACAGAATTACTGAATTGATGGGATATGAGCCAGAGGAACTTTTGGGCCGCTCAATTTATGAATATTATCATGCTTTGGACTCTGATCATCTGACCAAAACTCATCACGACAGTAAGTATAATAAAGGGGAAACTCATGCATATTCTAATTATTTAATCTTTTCTGTCTATACATCTAACTTTCTGGTTAAAATTAGTCTTTCTAGACTAAATTGTTAACATACCTCTTCATAAGGATTTTGGTCATTAAATCTTTGAGATTTATTACAATGAATACCAATAAAAGTAGAATCATTTAGTAATATATAAAACATTTAGCATTTTAAATACAAAGACTTTTTTTTTAATAACTTTTATTTATTTTTATGTGGTGCTGAGGATCGAACCCAGGGCCTTGCACATGTGAGGCGAGTGCTCTAACGCTGAGCCATAACCCCAGCCCCACAAAGACTTTTAAAACAACCAGATATTATAGAATATTTAACAGCATCCTTTTCAGAATCCATACTTAAATAATTGGATCAGTGATTGGCATACCGAAGGCATTCAGAAAATACTTGTTCAATGAATGTGAAGGTGTTCAACATCATGTACATGTGATAACAAGTACTCTTGATAATAAGATGATTCTTAATTTTATTCAAATGAATGTTATTTAAGATCCAAACTTAAGTTAAACTTTGGAATTTCTCACCTGCCTATTTAATCTATATCTAAACATGACTTCCCAATGTGATTAGGAAGGCCCAAATGTCACTTAAAAAGTGTGATTAGCCTTGAATTACAGAGCCCAAATCCATCTGCATTCAGGGCCTGAATACTCATAATAGCATCAATATGATTTATTCACTGCTTTTTTTTTTTTAATCTTTATTTATGTGGTGCTGAGGATGGAACCCAGTGCCTCATATATGCAAGGCAAGCGCTCTACCGCTGAGCCACAACTCCAGCCCCTTATTCACTGCTTTTTTCCAAATAAGTTAATTTTACATTGCATGAATTGCCAAAAACCTACATTATGGTATCAGTTTATATTCAAATATGCTAAGTGCAGTTTTTTGAAGTCTGATTGTCTAGAAATTAGAGCAGGAATTTAAGGAAACGGTAGTATTGCTTTCTTGTAATATCAAGCAGTGATCATTCTCTAGTCTGACACTTTCAACACAAATCAAAGTAATTTCAGCCACTGTTCTCTCTTGGCTTTTTGTTTTATTTATAGTAAAGATTGATTGGGGGGGGGCATGTTTTCAGCTATCCTGGGGCTTTCTCCTTCAATTTAAATAGTTAACAACTGATACCACTAAAGTAAACATTTCTCCCCTTTTCTAAAACAGTGATCTACATTCAACATCTGTCCATTTGATTGAAAATTCAAAGCTATTTCCTCTGTATCGTTCTTTTTCTTTTTCATTCCCAGTGTTTACTAAAGGACAAGTCACCACAGGACAGTATAGGATGCTTGCCAAAAGAGGTGGATATGTCTGGGTAGAAACTCAAGCAACTGTTATATATAACACCAAGAACTCTCAACCACAATGCATTGTATGTGTAAATTATGTTGTAAGGTAAGCTGGCAAATAAACATTTTGGGGAGACCAAGTAGTTAAGTTTTGGGACACTCTTTTTTAAAAAATAGTTTTTTGTTGTTGTTGTTGTCAATGGACTTTCATTATTTTTTATTTTTTTATATGCAGTGCTGAGAATTGAACCCACTGCCTCACATGTGCTAGGCAAGTGCTGTACCACTGAGCTACAACTCTAGCCCCTTTGGGCACTTTTTATAGGAAGAGGAAATTGTAAATATTAATTTTATTTTCACTTTTCTATAGAATTATGATTTTCATGTCAAATAGTTCACAGTGATTCCACTGAATACTACCAGTAGTTGTCTATCCACACTTTGACTCCTATTTTTTAATAAGACCTTGAAAAAAAAAACAAACTTGATCTATGGATTAGTTTGCTTTAGTCTTTCAATTCTAGGCATATACTATCTACATACACAGCTCAAGGCAGCTGTTATTTGTGTAGGGAGAATACTGGTCTTAGAATGGTCTTATGTCATAGCTCTGCCACTCATTAGATCTGTGACCTTGGAGAAGTCTCATTTCTCCTAATTCCATCCATGTAGGTAAGATAATACCTGAAAAGGTTTTAACAAAGACTATATGAAAGTCTGGGTGAGGCTGCTATAAAAGGCTATAAAGTGACATGTGGCTTTTGTTATATTCTTGAACTCCTCTCTTAGTTCATTAGTTTGTAACTATATGGACATCTTAAACTAATCTTGTATTAGCTTTATGCCAGTAGAATCTACCCCATTTAGTCTGTTTTCCACATTATCACAACATTCTAGTTCATCTACCTGACTGAGCTTTCTATGTAGATATCATTTTCTCACTGTTCTTTTTAAAAGATTTTAAATAGTTTAAATATTTGAGCAAATAGTAATTCATGAATTGGAAAGGACTAAACTCAAAGGGGGCTTGGGCTCCATTGATGTACCATAAAGGATAGACTTTTAATAGTGAATTTTGGAGTAATACATCTTTACAATTTTTTTTTAAGATCCCTTTATTACTCCCAAGATAAACTCCTGTCTACTTGCATGGCATCACTTCTTGTTATCATACTCCCTTGTTTCCATAGATTTAGCTCTTCCTCCAAAATCTCTGATCTTCCTCTTAGGAAGACTTTGGTTATTTGTTTTTATTTTTTCCACTTGTGACACTATCCTTCAGAGTTTCAATTTTGTGTCAAAGAATTCTTGTGGGGGCTGGGGTTGTGGCTCAGTTGTAGAGCGCATAGCGCGCTTGCCTGTAGGCACTGGGTTCTATTCTCAGCGCCACATACAAATAAATAAAACAAAGGTCCATCAACAACTAAAAAAATATTTAAAAAAAAAAAGAATTCTTGTGAACTGGGGTTGTAAATCAGTGGTAGAGTACTTGCCTAGCATATGTGAAGCACTGGGTTCGATCCTTAGCACCACAATAAAAATAAATAAAAGTATTGTGTCTATCTACAACTAAAAAAATTGTTTTAAAAAAAAGCATTCTTGTGTGACATTACCATTATGTAAGAATACTCTACTCTTCCCCTCACCTCACTTTGCCTAATAACTACATGTGAGTTCAACTTTCAACTTGTTAGCCTTTCTGTTAAGTAAGTCTTCTCTGTTTTAGCAGTGATCACATTTGCAATTTTATTTTCACACGGGGTTATAAACTTCTTGAGGGCAAGGTTTGGGTATTTTGATTTTTATATCCTCTGTTCATTCCACAAAGTGAACATTTAATATGTTAACTAAAGTAATAATAAAATTTACATTGAAGCCAAACATAAAACTGGAGCTATTGTTCATCATCCTTCCCCCACCCGTATTCTGAAGGTGTTACCACCATATCATCTTCCTACCCCCAAAGAAAACAAGTGCCCCTTTTTAGAAAGAGTGTAGTCATCTTACCCTTATATCTTTATATTGTAGAACCATCCTTAGGCCATGCTTCATATATTAGTCCCAAAGAGTTGTTTTGTGCCAATTTCATTAGTCAAATATTTGAGTTAACTTCTGTGAATTTTATTAGGTCTTTTAAAACATATGTGACGAGTATGCATGAGAGATCATCCATCTCAAGGAATATTAAAATGTTCATTTTTAAAAAGGAGAATGTAAGAGACAAGATCATTTCATAGTCCCCCTCACCCTTATTGTTTCAAGTAATCATTTAAGAATTGCTAATCTCTTTTTTTGACAGTGGTATTATTCAGCATGACTTGATTTTCTCCCTTCAACAAACCGAATGTGTCCTCAAACCAGTTGAGTCTTCAGATATGAAAATGACTCAGCTCTTCACCAAAGTTGAATCAGAGGATACAAGTAGCCTCTTTGATAAACTTAAGAAGGAACCTGATGCTTTAACTTTGCTGGCCCCAGCTGCTGGAGACACAATCATATCTTTAGATTTTGGCAGCAATGGTGGGTAGTTAGGTATTTTCTTAATCTCCTAAACTATGTTTGTTGCTATACGCTCCATAAAATGTTAGTCGTCATTTGGATACTGCTTATGTTTTGTTTTAATAGTCTTCTTGAAATTATTCACTGAAATATTTTTACTCTTATGATTTCTTTGCATTCCTGCTTTTTAAGTATTTTGGAGAATTTTGCTCCTAAATGTCCTTAAGGTATTTTTTCTTTCTGCTTTAATTTTCTCTAGCTACTCTATTTCTATATACTGCTGTCAGATTTTCTGTACTATTTAGTAGAGCCATATTGCAGTCAATGTAGTTGAATTAAAGGATAAATAAGAAGTCATACCATAATAGTAAACACTGAAAATGGGAACTAGATTATTGTAATTTCAAACTAGGTTAAAATTCAATGTATAGAAAGGTTAGAAATGCAGGTCTATCCCATATAGATTAGCAGAAGGTGCCAGTAGTAGACTAAAAAGATAAGTCAAGACTTATGATTATACCATATCTGTAAACTTTCCAATTAAGGAAAACATGGTTTACATTTGTCACCATTTGTCACCCAAGTGAATTACACAAATCTGGTAAAAAGGAACAACCTTCTATGGGTTAAAATTTTTATATTCTTTAGGTTGACTCATTTTTTTTTTCCCCCTTCAGACCCAGAAACTGAAGACCAACAACTTGAAGAAGTTCCACTGTATAATGATGTAATGTTCCCCTCATCCAGTGAGAAATTACAAAATATAAATCTGGCCATGTCTCCATTACCTGCCTCTGAAACTCCAAAGCCACTTCGAAGTAGTGCTGACCCAGCACTCAATCAAGAAGTTGTATTAAAATTAGAGCCAAATCCAGAGTCACTGGAACTTTCTTTTACCATGCCCCAGATTCAAGATCAACCAGCCAGTCCTTCTGATGGAAGCACTAGACAGAGTTCACCTGAGGTAGGTGCCATGATAAGAATAACTTTCAGATTTTAAAATTCAGGTATATATTTTTTAATTTGATTTACACTTATAATTTGGACATGTCACTTTATATATTAATCTTTTGGGGGAGAAGCAGTTTTGTTTGTTTGTTTGTTTTTAATGTGGTACTGGGGATTAGAACCTTGTGCATGTGAGGCAGGCACTCTACCAACTGAACTATATCCCCAGCCTCTTATGTGTTAATCTTAACACTCTAAAATTATGTATAAGCTATCAGCCTAATGTAGAATTCAACATGTTTTAGGCTCAGAGACAGGAACATGAGAAAGAACTGGCTTCGTATAAACCTGAATGTAAAACTTAGGTTATTTACATATCCACAGAGAATACAACTACTTATGTGTACTCCAGGTAGCTCTAGCCTATACCTATCACCTCTTTGAACTAGAAAACTCTCCAGTGACAAAAAGCTTAGCAGAGTTTAAATGGGAAAGGGCTTTACAAGTTCTGTGCCCAATTTAGTTCAATTTTTATCACTATTTTGTAATTCTGGATAAGTATAGCATGAAAATACAAAGTCTTACAGATTATATATTTAGTGATTTTCAATCTGATTTCTTGATATTAATAGTCCTAAAACTCAATAAAAGAACCTCCTCTTACTAAAACTATGATCAGGAGTAGGGCAACTTTGATCTGAATGGTATGTGAGGCACAAATAAGTCAATAAGTGGTAAATAATCCTACATTAAAGTAATCAAAATTGGCATGCTAAGAGTAGGAGATGTGAAATCTCAGTCTTTTGGAAAATATATCCTTTGCTCTGATTGCTTAGTTGAGTACCACAAAAAATGTTTGATTATTTTGTCTTTGACAAAAGTGAACTAATAAAAAAAAAAAAAAAAAAAAAAGCTATAATGGGGGAAAGTAAAATTTTATACTTAAAGTGGCTGTAAGATTTTTAGGTAGATCACCACAGGAGTATGCCTTCTCTGTACAGAGGCAGATTCTAGTGAACACATCATCTGCTTAATTGGCCAATTAGCTACCATTATGGGTTAGGTAAGTTTTATTCTTTAGAATAATAGATGAGTGCATCTTTTAATCTTAATTTTACAAATGATGTCATATAGTGTGGAATATGTATATTGGCAAAATTCGTTCCAGTTAAAGCTCAAGCATGTAACTTTTTGTTAGATTGTTTTGTTTATTGGATTTTGTCTATGTGTTTTCGGAGGTCTGAGGTGGAAATTGTAGGCTAGCATAACAGATGGAGGCTTCTTCAGGGAAACATAAACACATTTAATTCCTTTTACAGCCTAACAGTCCCAGTGAATACTGTTTTGACGTGGATAGTGATATGGTCAATGTATTCAAGTTGGAATTGGTAGAGAAACTTTTTGCTGAAGACACAGAAGCAAAGAATCCATTTTCAACTCAGGTATATGGATTTGTTTATTTTGTAATGAGTTTAATTAATTTGTAGTCTAAAGTTACTAAACTTATTTTTCTTTTACAAGGTATGACCATTGTAAAAATTCACGTATTTGTTGTTTTACAGGACACTGATTTAGACTTGGAGATGTTAGCCCCCTATATCCCAATGGATGATGATTTCCAGTTACGTTCCTTCGATCAGCTGTCACCATTAGAAAGCAGTTCTTCAAGCCCTCAAAGTGTGAGCACAATTTCAGTATTCCAGCAGACTCAAATTCAAGAACCTACTATTAATACCACCACTGCCACCACTGATGAATTAAAAACAGTGACAAAAGATGATATGGAAGACATTAAAATACTGATTACATCTTCGTCTCCCACCCATGCACCTAAAGAAACTACTAGTGCCACAACATCATCATATAATGATACTCAAAGTCGAACCGCCTCACCAAACAGAGCAGGAAAAGGAGTCATAGAACAGACAGAAAAATCTCATCCAAGAAGCCCTAACGTGGTATCTGTCACTTTGAGTCAAAGGTATTTATATGTAACACTGAAGTTATAGTTCTTCTGTTATATTAAAGTTATAGTTCTTTTATTATATTATGAATGTGATGTTACATGATTTGTAAACAGAGCACTTGCATGGCATATATGAGGCTCTGGGTTTAGTGGCTAGTATTGAATAAAAGTTACTCTTATTTTTCATTGGATATTTGTACAACATTAGCTATATTATAGGTTAAATGGTTTTTTTTTTTTTTTTTTTTAAGGCGGGGTGGGAGGCCTGTACCAAGAATCCTACAGTGACTTTAGCATTGCTTCTATGGAATGAAGCAATGTTTGAGCAAATATGTGGCTATAATCCAATTTTTAAGTTATAGCTAGGTGTGGTGGTGCACACCTGTAATCCCAGCCATTCAAGAGCCAGGTGGGAGTATTCCAAGTTCAAGCCTAGCCTCAGCAACTTAGGGAGGCCCCAAGCAACTATGAGAGACTCTGTCTCACAATAAAATGGGCTGGGGATATGGCTCAGTGGTAAAGCACCCCTGGGTTCAATCCCCAATACCAAAAATTTTTCTCTATGTAATTTGTAATTGGATTTGACATGTTTTAAATTTAAAGCTATAATTAAAGGAAAGAGGTTTTAGGTAGTCAGTATAGAGAAGAAAAGTGATTGCTTTACTATATCTAGACTGAACCAGCTGTCAACAGCAATAGGAAAGAACTACCATAACCAGAGTATATGCCCTTCTTCCCCTGTCCTGCATCCTACCTTGACCTACAATGCCAGGGAAAAAATCTGGGGGCTTTAGATTTAAATTCAGAAATAGTTTACAAATTACTATAACAATGACTGACTTCCAACCCTGAGCTCCACTAGGGCAATGTCAGTGTCTTAGGCATTTGAGTGATAGTAATACTTAGCTCAGTTCCTGACAGATAGTTTTTGCTTGCTGGAGTGATAAAATGGATATAATAATATAAATGATAATAACCTGTTGTTTACTGCATACTATCAGCTATAGAAGATGGGATATTCAATTTTCTGATCAACTATTCCTTGGATTTTTAGTTGTCAAAACCAAATCTAGGGGTTGGGGTTATAGCTCAAGTGGCAGAGCTCTTGCCTCGCACATGTGAGGCACTGGATTCAATCCTCAACACCACATAAAAATAAATAAAGTATGGGCTGGGATTGTGGCTCAGTGGTAGAGCGCTCGCCTCGCACAGGCGGGACCCGGGTTCGATCCCCAGCACCACATAAAAATAAAGGCATTATGTTGTGTCCATCTACACCTAAAAAAATAAATATTTTTAAAAAATTAAACATTAAAAAAATCTAATATCAGATCACTTAGTTCTATAACATTAGCTACAAAATCATGGGTACACTTGTAACTTTCAAGTTTATATGGAGGCTTTTTTCTCCCTCCTTGTTAGGTAATTATTTACAAAATCAAAGTGCTATACTAAACCAGAATATTTGTAGTTTTAGAGTGAGAATTAAAGATAAATTACTAAAAGTACTACTACTACTAAGTACTTACATGATGACTGAGTTATGTTTCATAAATACAATATATTTATAAGAGTTTTAAAACCTGCCTGTCTATAGACTAGAGATTTTATACAATTTTTAACAGAACAAAATGCATATAGAAAGGGAGTTAGAGTGATATTGCTTACCTATCCGCATTCTCAACTATCTGGACAGACCAAGGAGCCATTATGATATATATTATGAGAGGGAGGGGTTCTAAAAAAGCCAAAATAAATGTAACCCACATATTTGGCTCTTTATTACAATTCTTCACCACTTAATATTAGTTTTACATACAGGTAGCACGGGTTTGATAATCAATACTAAGGGCAAAATTAACAATAATGAGAAGGCCAATAGAGGAAAGGGTGGATCTGGAGACCTGGAGTGTACTTCCATTTGTGCAACTAATTAACTGTGGGACTCTGACCAACTTACCTAATAGGCTTCAGGTTTCTTAATTATAAAATGGGTATGACAATACCTGTCATACATACCTTAGAACTGGAGCAAGTTTAAAATGAAGTAATGAATATGAAATATTTTAATAACTGAAACACTAGACAAGCGTGAAATCAATCTTACATTACAGTAATCCTGAGAATATTGGTGTATTCTTAATTAAGTGGAAAAAAGGCTAGTTTCTAACTCTTTTATCTACAATAATGACAACTGAGTTTTGTTTGGTTCTACTTTATAAAATAGGGTTATGGGGGCTGGGGATGTGGCTCAAGCGGTAGCGCGCTCCCCTGGCATGGTTGCAGCCTGGGTTCGATCCTCAGCACCACATACAAACAAAGATATTGTCTCTGCCGAAAACTAAAATGTAAATAAAATATTAAAAAAAAAAAAAAGAGCTGGGAATGTAGTCCAGTTGGTAGAACACTTGCCTAATGTGTGAGGCTCTGGGTTCAATCCCCAGTATGGCACCCCTTCTCCAATTTTCTTTTTTTTTTTTAAGAAATAAAATAGGGTTACATATGGTTTAGAAAATTTTCTGTTGTAAAAAGTGAGCTTCTGAGTGAGGGGTATAGCTCAGTGATCTTGTATTATGCACAAGGCCCTGGGTTAAATCCCTAGCTTTTGCTTTTTTTTTTAGTTTTCGGCGGACACAACATCTTTGTTTTCATATGGTGCTGAGGATCGAACCCCATCCACTCACATGCCAGGCGAGCACGCTACCGCTTGAGCCACATCCCCAGCCCCTAGCTTTTGCTTTTTAAAGTGATAAATGTTAGCAGTCAGGAAAGTTCCATTATGTACACAACATTATATTCCTTAATGTTGGAAACTAGGGCATATTATGCATTTTGTTTAAAAGAGCTTGATTAGATATTTTATCTAGAACATTTTCTTTTCCAGAAATACAGTTCCTGAGGAAGAATTAAATCCAAAGATATTAGCTTTGCAGAATGCTCAGAGAAAGCGAAAAATGGAACACGATGGTTCACTTTTTCAAGCAGTAGGAATTGTAAGTGTGAGAGTAAACATGTTGCTTTTCTACTCTAGCTAATGTGCTACTTTCAAGTTATATATAGGCAATTTAAGAAGTGATACATTGGGCTTTCTTATTTGATACACACTAATTTTTTAAAATACAGTTAATGAATGCATTATTGGAGTCTAAATTCTAAACAATACAGATACATTCTGAGTAAGAAATGAAGTTCTCACATTTCTCCACTCTAGATATCACCTCTGATCTCATTTTCTTTGTGTTATTCTCCCTTATTAGTAAAACCACTGTGTAATAATGAATAGCAAATGGCTTTACCATAGTTATTATTAGGAGAAAGAATAAAAATAATATAGGGCAGTATTTAAGAAACCTGCCTATATGTTGCTATTAAACTTAAATGCATTTCAAAGTCTAATTGTAAAAAAAAAAATTCAACATAATAAACTTGAAATAACTTACTCTTTTTAGGGCACACTATTACAGCAACCAGATGATCGTGCAACTACTACATCACTTTCTTGGAAACGTGTAAAAGGATGCAAATCTAGTGAACAGAATGGAATGGAGCAAAAGACAATTATTTTAATACCCTCTGGTTAGTTTGTTTTGCCCTCAAACATCACAAGGACAATTACAATAAATGAAATTTTTTTTACCAGGAGCTTTACTCCAAGTGAGAGTGATTTAGATTCCTTAGCAAAATGGAAAAAGTAAAGTGTATCGCATTTATTCTACTGACTGTATTTAGGGTAGATACATCAAGATGGAACTTTCACTCTGTAGTAATTCTTTCTGATGTATCTAGCTTTATGTGCTATCAATATTGATAGAAGAGGAATCTTATGAATTCTTTTACCAAACTGATTTATCACTTTTCTATGCCCTCATTGTCTCCTGTAAATATTTCTGATGTGGGACTGGGATTGTGGCTCAGCAGTGGAGTGCTTGTCTGGCATGTGCAGGGTCCTAGGTTCAATCCTTGGCACCACATAAAAATAAATAAAATGAGGGTATTGTGTCCAACTACAACTAAAAAATAAATATTTTTTTAAAAAATTTCTGATCTAGCACCAATAATACTTGACTGCATTTATTTGTTTACATTGCTGTGGTTTTGGCCAAATGACTAAAAACCCATCCAGAAGTTTGTTTTATTTTCCCCAAAACCTAATGCATAGTGGAAGTTTAATAAATTTAATGAATACTTGTGTGTTTCTTTCTTTTTTAGATTTAGCATGTAGACTGCTGGGGCAATCAATGGATGAGAGTGGATTACCACAGCTGACCAGTTATGATTGTGAAGTTAACGCTCCTATACAAGGCAGCAGAAACCTACTGCAGGGTGAAGAATTACTCAGAGCTTTGGATCAAGTTAACTGAGCTTTTTCATGATTTCATTCCTTTTTGTTTCTTCTTCTTTTTTTTTTTTTTTAATTTTTTGGACACTGGTGGCTCATTACCTAAAGCAGTCTATTTATATTTTCTATATCTAATTTTAGAAGCCTGGCTACAATACTGCACAAACTCAGATAGTTCAATTTTGATCCCCTTTCTACTTATTTACATTAATGCTCTTTTTTAATATGTTCTCTAATGCTAGATCACAGACAGCACATTTTCACAGACCTTTGGTGTTTAAACCATTGCATTGTAGTAGCATCATTTAAAAATGCACCTTTTTATTTATTTATTTTTGGCTAGGGAGTTTGTCCCTTATTGATTTATTTTTAATAAGATGCCAATATAATTTTTTAAGAAGGCAGTAACCTTTCATCATGATCACAAACAGCTGAAACATTTTTACTCATTTTTCACATTTTACATAAACAATAATGCTTTGCCAGCAGTACATGGTAGCCACAATTGCACAATATATTTTCTTAAAAAGTACCAGCAGTTACTCATGCAATATATCCTGCATTTATAAAACTAGTTTTTAAGAAGAAATTTTTTTTGGCCTATAAAATTGTTAAACCTGGAACTTGACATTGTTAATCTTATAATAATGATTCTTAAATGCTGTATGATTTATTATTTAAATGGGTAAAGCCATTTACATGATATAGAAAGATATGCATATATCTGGAAGGTATGTGGCATTTATTTGGATAAAATTCTCAGTTCAGAGAAATCATCTGATGTTTCTGTAGTTACTTTCCCAGCTCAAAAGAAAACAATACCCTATGTAGTTGTGGAAGTTTATGCTAATATTGTGTAATTGATATTAAACCTAAATGTTCTACCCACTCTGTTGGTATAAAGATTTTGAGCAGACTGTAAACAAACAAAAAAGTCATGCATTGTTAGTAAAATTGCCTAGTATGTTAATTTGCTCAAAATATGATGTTTGGTTTTATGCACTTTGTCGCTATTAACATCCTTCTTTTTTCATATAGATTTCAATGATTGAGTAATTTAGAAGCATTATTTTAGGAATATATAGTTGTTGTAGTAAACATCTTGTTTTTTTCTATGTACATTGTATAAATTTTTCATTCCTTTGCTCTTTGTGGTTGGGTCTAACACTAACTGTATTGTTTTGTTATATCAAATAAACATCTTCTGTGGACCAGGCCCCCTTTGATTAGCTTTTATGTTTAAATAGTATTTGCATCATCTCCAGCTCATGAAATTGTTTCCTAACAATTTAAGTACTTTATGAAAATTATATTGTACGCTTCTGCATTTATCTCATTGCCATTATTATCTTAATGTATGCTGTGTCCCTAAATGTCATGTTAACTAATAACCATAGTATTACATTGTAAAGAGTATGTTTTTAGAAAAGAAACCTGCCGTTTGTAAATTTATGAGCCTATTAAAGTGTAAAACACAAAATTTTAATATTTTTAGTATAAATGAAATGAGTGAAGCAAATCATGGACATTGTAATCATATACTATTGTAAAGGTTAGTGGTTCCTCTAAAGATTTCTAATCTATTCCCATTAACAGATGAAAAAGTTTAGACTGCAAATGATGAATGATTTGCTCAAGCCATAAAAGTAATAAATGTAGACCAAAGATTTAGCTTAGGGCTTCTGAATCTAATGTTAAACCTACAACAAACATTTGTTGTTTTTGTTTTAATCATTCTGTATTTTGATTTTAAATAGCTTTCTTTCTGCTATGCTTTTCTTGTATAAACAGCTATTTCTTTTACAGTTTCTTTTTTAAAAGAAAAACATAAGTATAGAAAGATATGAAAATAAGAGACAAAAATCACTGTTAATCTCTGCACCTAAAGGTAACAGAAAGTGCACACGTGTGTGTTGCTGGGGATTGAACCCAGACACAAATACAAAACAAGCACTCTACCATTGAGCTATACACTTAGTCCCCCAAATTTATTTATATTGATAAATTACATGGGCTGTGCCAGAGCCCTGGGTTCTTTATCTTGAGGTATGTATCCTGAACAAGATGAACTAGCTATAGATCTCTTAAATAGCTGTTCTTAGAACGGGACAACAACTACATGAAAATTTGGGAACAAAAGTTCACAATACTGATACTAAATACAGAACCTTGGGGACACAGGTATAATTCACCCCAAATACTATGACCCAACGTACTTCTCATTTAGTAACAGATATTACCAGAGGTGACACTTTAGAATAAAGTAGTTGCTTAATATTCCCAGATGACAAAATTTTAGAATTATGCTTATTGATTAAGAAAATTAGTTTCAGTTGAAAACTAGAAGTTTATAATTTTCAAATGTAAATAAATGGGATTACTACACAACAGGCCAGAAGTCTGGGAAAATGACCTGTGAGGACGATGATTTAGGAGGGAAAGCCATGTTAAAGAACAGGTGAGCTAGAAGAAAAGTACCAAGTGCTCAGTTACTCAGAAAAAAAGTCACCTGGAGTGCTTAGAACTATGTAACACATCTAGCACTTCCTTCCCAGCACTGTATGCCATCAGGAATTTCTTTATAATGCCTTCATCCAAAGAGTATAACCCAACAATGTCATTTTATCCTTATATTTCTCTCTCCTCCCTATATGTCTATGCTTCCTATCTCTTTTCTGGTGCAATGAATGAATGAATGACTTTAGTATTACTTTCATCCTGAGGAAAGTGTGGCAGAAGGAATTAGCATATTTTGTTCATCTGTTACTGTTAAGTGTAGAACTGAAACTAGTTGCTGAGCAAGCCTACCACTGCCAGGTACAGTGCTCATAGATTAAAATGACTCTAACATCTGTTGAATACACTAGACTTTGTGCTAAGCATTTTGCTTGTTATCTCACACTCTTCACAAATCCCTATGAATTAGTACTTGTATCTCACTTTGTACATTTGAAAATCTTGGGAAAGTTGGTCCAATGTTCAAAGCTGCTGAGCAGGCCATCAGTGATTCCAAAGCCCATGGTGCTAACCACCATGCAGAAAGTACTAGTCACTCCAGTAGAACAAATCCTTGTCCCCCATTTTCAACTGTTCAAATAGTAAATGGGGGAAAATAAAGGGAGTGTATAAAACTGAAGGCCATTTGTCACTTGGAATTGAGGTCACCCAGGACATTGAGGGATGTCCTAAAAGGAGTGGCATGACATGTAGAATAGAATTATTTCAAAGAGTTATTTAGTGGGTTTGGGGTCTGAACTAAAGATTCAGATTCCAGATTATAGAGACATTATTAACTCACTGGTAAACAAGGTGTAGTGTGTGGGAAAGCATTTGAACTATAAAAGGCTGTTACGTATGGTATGGTGGACTTTATGGCATAACAGACAGGTTCATTTTCATTTGCGCTTGTATAACCTCACAATTAACCCTTCCAATCTTGATTTCCTCATGTAAACATCCAAGAGGTTTGAAAGATAAATTTAGTTACCAGCTTTGCAGAAACAAACATTCTAAAAGGTAAGAATTTTAATGTAGCAATGTCAAAAACAAGTTACAAAGAATACGAAATATTTTTTTAACTTTGTAATTTGATTAGCTAAAACCTTTGCATACATGTTGCTAGCGAGAACCAAGGAAAATGTAAAGAAGAAAAACCTTATTGGGGTGTTTTAAGTTTGCCACTAACCTCTTTGCTTATTTCTTCCCTTTAAATAGCGCTGAACCTGTTATCCATATTATTTCGCGTTTAAAGCAATGTGTAGAATCTAATTCGACATAATTTCCTGTCGGATAAAAGCTACACTTGACCACAAACCTTACTATCATCGCCTTCTGGAGTTTGTTGTGTTCACACCTTCCAGAGGTTTGGATATAATGTTTATTCTTACCTTTAATTGACGGTTTTTATCCAGGATGGTGCCAGACACCCGATCTCCGTGTACTATTTTAATTTCCTTCCCGGCTCCATTCTGGGACGGAGAGAAAGGCAGGTGCCTGAGAGCGGCTGTGGCCTGAACCTCGGCGAGGAAAACACCAAGCACGCGGAAGGAACGCGGCTCGCTCCTGCTCCCGGCGCCGCCGGTACTACTACATGATGAGGATGCGAAACGCTAGCCGCCCGGAGAAACTTCCGCAAGCCCCGCCCTCCGCCCTGCCGGCCACGCCCCGGTACGTGCTCGGGCGCAACACCCAGTCGTGGGCCCCCGCCCGGGCCGCGGCCCCTGGGCCCCAGGGCTCCAGTCCGCACGCGGCGGCCGCGTGTGCTGGGCGCGGCTGCGCCAGCGGCTCCCGCCTACGTGTGCGAGCGCATGTGCGAGGATCTGCGGGCGGGGAGGGGGCGCGGCGGCCCGCCTTTGTCTTCGGTGACCGATAGAGCCATTCCCTCAACCTTGCCTTTGACAGCTACGTCCCGAATTCCCAGGCGGAAGCTTTGGGATGTGAATCTATCCTTTGAATAGGAAAATTTCTGAGGTCTCTGAATACTTTAGGCCTTAGTTAACTCTACTATGGCTAAAACTGTACTTTAAGTTAGTCCTCATATAATCTGAAATAGAGTTGTTTAAATATACCCCCTTTAATGTCCATGAACACTCAATTCATTTTAAATAAAGTACTTTGAGATATGACTAATAAATAAATGTATAGCTGCCCCAGGGGGTGAGTTTTTTTGTTGGGTTGTTTTTTTGCTCGGTTTTTTAATTTTGCTGCGCGTCAGTTATTGAGGGTCTTTTGTGCTAAAGGTTAGGTGAATTTATAGCATACAAAAAGTTGGGGCCTTAAATTTAATCTCTATAGTTTTGGTATGTTGAGTCCACTGTTAATTGTAAAGTAAAAAGGCCTAGTATTGTTTAGAAAAAGTATCCTCACCTCTGCTAATCCATAGCTCACCATATTTTATATTTTAAGCTGCTTCTTTCAGGAAACATAATTGTGGTTTTTCAAATAGAATTTCATAGAAAATGAGGACCGTTTTTAAAAATCGTGGTTGAGGCCTGGGGATATAGCTAGGTTGATAGCTTGCTTGCCTTACAGGCACAAGGCCCTGAGTTCAATCCCCAGCACCACAAAAAAATTAAATTAAATTAAATAAATAAATAAAATTGTGGTTGAGGTGTTTCAAATGCTCTTTGCTAATGAAAACAGATCTATAGTATGTGTTTAGACAGGTATCATTTAAGGAGAGTGCTATAGTTCTTTTGGTCCTATGTTTGCTTAAATCATTACAGATGGACAATTCTCCACAGAGAAGAACAGGCTGGGTGGGACCTGTAATGTTCATCAAAATGGTCATGTCTTTTAAAAAGCTGAGAACTGTTACATATATAGCCTGACAAGTAGACTAGGATTCTATGAAGTCGGTTCTATCTTTAGAGATCTTTGAAATATTAAGACGTTAAAAAGCACTATATTATGCAGGATTCCTTTCCAGATATTTTGGGATAATATTATTTGCTCTTTGGGATGGATTTTTAAAACATGGCTTTACATATAATGCTATGACAAAAATCTTTTATAGGTAGGTATACTACATGAGCTGTGGCATAAACCGTTATAAACTCCTAATCTCCTGTAGAATATTTACAGGGAAGCCTAATAGAGTCCTACAAGAGAAAGTTAGGAGATAGCACGGTCTGAGTAGGTGCTTTGCATCAGTCCATGCTGCTTCTTAGAGCCTCCTGAATAGCAAACATTTGTCACCTTTATAAACTTACTTATCACTACATCTTTCATTCTCTCACCTCTTTTTTTTAACTGTATGATAATTTATAGTTGTCTTATCTCCCCTATTAAACTTAGTTTCTTTGAAACACAGGTTTCCATCTGATTCATCTTTTTTTTTTCCAAAAGCCTTCCACTCTGCTTATACAAGAATAATTAACATAATCGAAGGTAAAAGAGGATTTAATGTGTGACATGAGGACTAGATAATTTTGACCAGAGAACAGAATGGGCAAAACAGGACTATTTTCTATCTTTTCTAGTGGAATTCATTTATTCAGTAGGGCTGAGAAAATGCAAAATATAATAAATATTGTAGCCAGGTACTATGGCGTACACCTTTAACCCTAGCTACTCAGGAGGCTGAGGCAGGAGGATCCAATGTCCAAGGTTGACTTAGTAAGACCTAGACTCAAAATTAAAAAAAAAAAAAAAAAGGCTGGGGGGAGTAGCTCTGTGGTAGAGTGCTCTTGGGTTCACTCCTCAGTACTGCAAAAACAATAATAATAAGTAAATATTGTAGAATGTGGTTCCGGTCATCGAGAGTGGTTAATTCCCATTCTATGAGGTACTTCAACATCATTTAACTGTAATTGTGCAACTACAGTTCAAGGCTAAATAAAATTTATATTGGTCATTTAAGCCATCATAAACTAGACTGGGAATGTAGGTCAGTGTTAAGAGCACTTGCCTAACATGTACCAGGCCCTAGGTTCAATCCCTGGTTCCAAAAAGAAAAATGAAAAAAAAAAAAGAGATGTTTTAAACCACTATTTCCTTTTCTGACCTATCTGTAGCTTGACACTCTGTATCACCAGCCCAGACTGCTTTCTTCAGGTGCCTCACATTTGTCCTGTCTAAAGCTAACTCCTGGTGCTTACTTCAGCAGCACATAGATTAAAACTGAAATGATACAGAGAAGACTAGCACAAGGATGATATACAAATTCATGAAGTGTTCCATATTTTTTAAAAGAACAACTAACCCCTTATCTATCTTCCAAATGGCTCCTCATCCTGCATCCCCTGCTCAATGAATGGCACCACTCAGTCTCAGAAACCAGAACTGTAGAGGTCAATTGTCACTACTGCCTCGCCCACCAAATCCAGTTTGGCACAATCCTTTATCTGGCTTAAATTTTCGTTGTGGGAACTTGAACATATACAAAAGTAAAGGGAATAATGCCAAAAATTCTCCAGTTTAGGTTCCCTCAGAAGTAGACTCTGACATAAAACTGCAGGTGATTTTGGGGGGGAATGCTTTTGGGATAAGCACATGTGAAAGAGAAAAGATTAGAAACAGGCAGAGAGAGAGAGAGGCAGGAAGCTGACACACAGTCCCAGTCGCTGCCTTCACCAGCCACTTGGGAAGCTCTGGAGCTGGTCCTCAAGAGTTGTCTCAAGCTACTGGGAGGGTCTGGCCTTTACACTGGTCACCAACTAGTCATTGGATGCAGGCTGCCCCCAGAAGGAGACGTGACCTTTCCTCAGCTTAGCAATTCCCAGAGGACTAACAGCTGAAGACCATCTGCTACATACCCATAGCCGGGAAAGTAAATATGTCATTCCTGAGACATCTGGTGTCTCATCACAGTGTCACCCACAGTACCAACTTCCACAATTACCAACTCAGGATCTTTTTTTCACGTATACCTCCACACATCCCTCCCCTGCCACCATGATTTTGAATGAAATCCAGAGAAATCATATAATTTTATTTAGAAATAATTCAATATGAATCTCTAAAAAGACTTTTCTTTTTGGACAACCACAATATAACATCTAAAACTATAACAATAATTTCCTTAATTTCATCAAAATATTCAGTCAGTGACAGTCTTTTTGGTTCTGTTTCTGTATGTTCTTTATAATCTGTCCCTTCTCTACACGACCTCATCAGTTTTGGCCTGGTTTTCTTCTACTTCCCCCCCTCATCTGCCCCATCCCTGCCACATCTCATTGTTGCCAAATTAATCTTTCTAAAACAAAACTATGATGATGTTATTTCTATATGTAGCATTCCCTCAAGGAAAATAGTCTAATGAATATAAAATAGTCGTTGTCCTTGGGGACCAAGTGCCAGAGGACATTACTTCTTACATAATTCATTCTTCTTTCTTTGTGATGCTTTATAGGAGGGACGATTACTTTCCTTAACAGGAGAAATAATGATTTCTAAAATTTAGTACCTAATGATTATTTTCAGGTGGGAGTTTGAATGCTTGTGTAGTTGACGTTAAGGTCCAAACTGCAAAACTGTGAGGAGTTTGTGATTTATATGTATGTATATGTACTGATAGAAACACCAGCAAACAGGCCGTTTATTATTCAGACAACATATTAATGCCAGTTCCCATGGGCTACATGATGATGGCCACATATTCACCTGGATATGCAGTAGGGTTTTACGCTATAGGAGAGGAACACTGCAACTATGAGACTTGGAGTTTGTATGTTGTGGCTGGGACACCTGCCAATACCTGTAGAGAAAATTGCTATGAAATGTAAACAAATTTTCTCTGGGGAGGAAGAGGAAGGGAAGGCCTTTATCTTTCTTTCTTTCTTTCTTTCTTTTTTTTTTAATCATTCTGGAATGTAAGTAAATGGCTCCAAGGGAGATAGGTCTCTAAATCTCTTCAGCATTCTCTGTCTTAGGATAGTCAATTATCCTTCACTGAAAAGACTCACACTTAGCAGACAGACATCCAGGGAGAAAATTTACTGGTACAGGTCCAGGCTTTGAGATCTCCTATATATTGTTCCAAACACTGCCAACTTCTTTTCCTTGCCTCTCTTCCCCCAGTGATGGAACCTCCTAATATGTTCTCTAATTTTTTTGTGTGTCTTTGTACTTGCTTTTTCTGTATGTCTACAGCATCCTTCCTATCTCATCTCCATATCCTTAATAGTTTCCCTCTTTTCAGAACTCAGTTCTACTTTAGAAAGTATACTTATTCTCTTAGGGCCTGGATTAGGAGATTCTCCTAGGTGTTCCCATGTTGCATTGTGCTTAACTCTTTCATAGTATTCATCACACTAATATTAAGTATAGTTTTATAATCTGCTTGAGGTGAGTGGATGGTGAGCAACTTGATGACAAGAGTAATGCCTTTAAATGCATCTTCAGCAAATTGGCAGTGTAAGAAGTTCCATGGATACACTGCTCAATTAAACAACTATAACTAGTGAAAATGTTTAAGGAATAATTTAGAGTTCTTGGAATTATCTGAAGCCAATGAAGAAACATTTATTCAAAAGAATCTACTAAATCTTGGTAAAGTAGCAATGGTGAATGGTACTTAAGCCTTGATTTGCTGCCCACTGCCTTTACCATGAGAAATTCCACTCAGGTGAGTGGAGCCCTTTCCCCCAAGATCCAGTAAAAGAATATAGTATTTCCCAGGGTGGGGAGGCGGGCAGTTTGCTAGGATTTTTTTTTTTTTTTTTTTTTGTCTTGGTACTAGGGATTGAACACAGGGCGCTTAACTACTGGGCCACATCCCCAGCTCCTTAGTATATTTTATTTTGAGACAGGATCTCACTAAGAGGAGCCCTAAACCAAGTTGCAAAGAATGGCTTTGAACTTGCAATCCTCCTGCCTCTGCCACCTAAACTTTTGGGATTATAGGAGTGTATCACTGTACCCTTCAGGATTTTTTTCATTTTGCTTTGCTCTAAATTGCAGAGACTGAATTCCATGCTGCACGTTGCGAAGAGATTGGAGATAAATGGGATTCCCAAATTGGCCTTACCCCAGCTCACACATATGATGGGAGTTTCATTCCAGGGTAGGTGGGCTGAAAATAACAGAAGCCACAGCCCCCTCCCAGAGCTCTGCCCATAAATCAGGAGAGTGACTCTGAGTGAAGGCCACCATCTGTATCCTCAGTTCTGAAACAGTGGCTAAGAGATTTTGCCCAGAAGGAGAGGCACCT